CAATCCCATGACCCTGGGATCATGACCTGAGCTGAAATCAATAGAGGCTCAGCTGACTGAGCCACCCAGGTCCCCCTAAATCATATGAGATTTCTATTTTTAATTTTTTGATGAACTTCTATACTGTTTTCCACAGTGGTTGTGCCAATTTACATTCCCACCAACAATGCACGAGGGTTCCTTTTCCTCCACATCTTCGCCAACACTTGTTTTTTCTTGTCATTCTTATTTTAGCCCTTCTAACTGCTGTGAGGTGATAGCTCATTATATTTTTGACTTGCATTTTCCTGATGATTAGTGATGTTGAGCATCTTTTCATGTGTCTGTTGACCATCTTATTATAAACTTAAAAAAAAGGCACTGTCATAGTCTTAGTGAAGGGTAATTTTCAGATGTTGAACTGAATGTTTGTGGAATTATAATCTTTTTAATGTGTGGTTTTGTTGTCTTCACAGCTGTCAAGAGCTGTGTGGTATTCTATTCAGTTGACTCACTGTAATTTACCTGACGATCCATTATAGTGGGATGTTTATATTGCTTCCATTTGTTGCTGTTGTATATAATGCTGAATGAATGCCTTTTGGTGTATAGATTTGTTTTGAATTATTTCCTTACAGTAAATTCCCATGAATGGGATTACTGGGTCAAAAATGGGGTGCATTGTTTTCCAAAGGACCAGGAACTGATTTACAGGGCCACTGGTAATGACTTGATTCTCACACTTGCACTTGAGTGTGGTTTACTTCAGCTGGAGAAGGCATGGCAGAGTGGAAATGCAGGGCAGAATTCAGGGAATGAGCAGTTAAAACAGGGTCTTCAGGCTGTCATCTGCTGCTCAAGTTCACAGCAGCAGGCCATCTAATTGGCTCTGGATTTAGGATGTCTTTGTAAAATGTAGGCTTACTTAGCTTGGAGGTCAAGTGCATGGATGTGGAGCAAGATGCCTGTAATCAAATCCCAGCTCCACTGGGCAGTTAGGTGTGTGACTTTGGGTCAAGTTGCCTAATACCCATGGCTCTGTTTCCTTATCTGTAAAATGAAAGCTTAAAAACAGAACTTCCTTCACAGGGTATTGTGAAGCTGAAATGAGATAATACACGTCACGTGTTCAGCCCAGTGCCCAACACATGAGAAACACACAATGCATGTTACGTAGTTACGGCAGTAGGACTTATTAAAGGATGTGTTTTCGACCCAGCCTGCTATTCAGGCTGTGGGCTGGTTTCTTCCTACCTTCAAGTTTGTTCCCACACACAAATTGTCTAAAATTAACTATTTTAAATTCCCAGCCAGCACTTCATTCTGTATATCAGAATGGAAATCTTAAAGTCAAATCAATTAATAAAAGGGACTATGCAGGGGCGCCTAGGTGGCTCAGTCAGTTAAGTGTCTGACTTCGGCTCAGGTCATGATCTTGCAGTTTGTGGGTTCGAGTCCCGCATCGGGCTTTGTGCTGACAGCTCAGAGTATGGAGCCTGCTTCAGATTCTGTGTCTTCCTGTCTCTCTGTCCCTCCCCTACTCACATTCTCTCTCTCAAAAATAAACAAACATTTAAAAAAATTTAAACACAAAACAAAAAGGACTGTGCAGAGAGTTCTGAAGAAGCAAGTGTCATGTCCTTGAACCCAGAGAGCTTACATTTTTTCAAACATTCAGCTTTGAAAGAGAATAAACCTTGGCTCTGAAACAGCAGGGAATGCCTGGTCACTGCCCCGTCACTACTGGGTCTGGCTGGGGGAGTGGAGCGAAGCAGGGCTCAGGAAGCGATTACAGCTTTGTGGCCAGAGTGAATAGATCTGCCTTCAAGTCTGAAGGAAGTAATATGTTTTTAAAAGTAATCTCACTTCAGAGTGACAAGAGAGCAACTGAATCTTTTCAAAAATTACGTCTTCTTTTCAAAATAAAATTCAGAAAACCAAGCAAAACTCCTAGTGGTTTCCAGGTCCCATTCTGTTGTTAACTGTCAGGGCTCTGTCAAGGCTGTCCGTGTGGACCTGGCTTTGATTTTCACAAGACTCAAAGCGAAGCTTCACAAGATTCACTGTTTAGAGACGCTCCGTTCTCATGGTAACTGATGGCCCATCAGCACCAAAATATACACAAGGCAGCGGGGCAGCGTGAAGATGTTACTACGACAACTGGAATTTAGAGTATACATTTTTAAAGGAGTGTGGGAGGGCTTAATTTCACTTTGCTTTCTTCAAGAAAGCCTGGGAAAGAGGAGTCAGGCATTTCAGAAAACAGAGGGGCCCTGGAGTCCGAGGTCTGGACTCAGTCACAGTGCTGCCCAGAAGATGGGTGACAGCAGAGTGCAGGCTGCAGAATTCTGTGAAATCACCTCAGAGGGGAGAAAACAAAACCACCTCAGCAAAATGTGCCTCCATCAGAAATCCTACAAAGATGTGTTGTGTTGGGAGCAGGCAGGAGTAAGGAGTGTTCCAAGAGAAGAACTCTTGATTTTTAGCCTTCATGGAATTTGCAGAACAGAGATGACCAGGAAAAAATCGACTTGCTTGAAACAAAAATGGCCATTTTAAAATAAACCGAGTTCATTCGCCACAGTTTGGAATGTACAGGTACTACTAGGAATTTGAAAAGGATAGGACACTTCTGTTTTCCTCTGAGGATGTGAATTTGTTTCTCCTTCTGGGCCTCACACAGCTGACTGAAGATAGTGTCGTGGGAGGTTGGACACCTCCAACTTCAAGTGCCGGGGCTACAGCAGGTCTGTGGGCCCAGCCGAGGGGTGCCAGCCCTGTGTGTGGCACCAGAAAGAGCTTCTCACACTCTGGGGCTGGTATTTGTGACCCAGGGCCCTGGTTACCTGCTTCCAGTTGTTAGCGGTGACAGCCCCCCATGCCAGGCCAACTTTCCCCATCAATGGCATTGGCTTCTGCGTGCCTGGAGCGATTCTGCACTGCCCCAGTGTCCCCCCAACTGTCACCTGAACCGTCTCCCTAACACCCCGCACTTCTCTTGGTCTTGCTCTCTTTACTCAGTTTATCTCACTTTATTGAGTGTGGCCCAGGCACTTCTCACTTGAAGGTCTAAGTGGAGCCAAGAAATCAGCATTTTTTTTCTTAGCCAGTTCCAGAGAAGTCTCTGAAGCAGGAGTTGTGCAACTCACAGAGCAAGGAGCCTCGGTAGGGAAATAGAGATGCTTCTGTCCTCATATTCCTTTAATTCTCCCAAGGATTCTCTTGGGCTCAGAAGGGTGAGGTAACCTACCCCTGGTCACACAGCAGTACTCAGCTAGGTCTGACTCCAAAGACAGAGCTTGAGTCTCCCTCCCCCACCATGTGAGTGAGAGTGGAAGTTTCCATTCCACCAGCTGCCCATCCAAGGGGGCTGTTGCTGGAACCTGGGAGCCTCCTGCTTTCATATCGCTCTTTTGTCTCTTGGGCCCAACCTCACTGGGTGGGGTTCATAGCACGGTTACACCATCTCAAAGGCTCAGTGATGTTCTGGCACATTTTGACATTCTGCCTTCTATTTTCTGTATGTGGTGATGTTTTGACATCCCTGGGGCCTTGCAGGCCCAGAGGAGGACCACCCCTCCCATGGTTACTTTCTAGAAATAGCAAACAACTTGCCTGTGAGCCTACCTTTGATATGCAGACCAACCAATCCACCCCCCTCCCCGGCATTTGTCTCCTTTTATCAAGTTCCTACAGTCAGGACACCATCCTACCCTAAATCACCCCAGAGCCAGATACCAGACGACCAGACTGGAGCCAGAACCCACTGAAATTACCCTACCATCCCATCCTGCCTTGTGTGCCTACACACCCTGCCTCGTCCATTCCTTCCAGCAAAAACGACAATAAAGGCCCTGGCCCTCGCTTTCCCCTCATTCCTGATGCTGGTGGCTCCCAGTGAGGGCTGAGCAGCCGTGTGCCCCTCCTCTTGGGAACTGTGAGTAACAGAGGTTTTGGTGTTTTTTTTGTCTCTTGTTTTTGTTTTTACCGGACTAAGCGGCTTTTTTGGGGAAAGCCAGGATTACAGTGGACTTAAGAGTTGGCATGGGGACCCGTCTTGCCAAAGGTGGGCACAACACTGACAAAGTGCTGGTCGTACTGCATCCACCGCTTAGCTCAGCCCGTCTTCCTTCTGTCTTGTTCAGCCACGTTGGGAGTCTGCCTTCTTGCTTCCCCAGCACGGCTTCCCCAGCACGGGCCCGGGAACCATGGACTTTACCTCCACCGTGCGGCCGGCTACTTCCAGGGTGCTCAGAGCCTCCTCTGCACACTGACCTAGGGTAGCCTCATCCTCTAGCGGCGTGCCGGCTGGGAGCATGACTTGATCTCCGGGAGCAACAGCCTCCAGCAAGGCCACGTGTGCCTCAATCTGGGCACCCATCTCCTGGCCCATCAACTCAAGGGTGTGTAGCTTCTGGGCGAGGACAAAGAGCTGCATGTCGGGGACTGAACCGTGACCACCCGAGCCACTTCCACGAAGATGGACAAGAAAGAGAGTAACAAAGTATTTTTCTGTGGCAGTCATCTGATCCTTTGGCCCGAATAAAAACAAAACAAAAAAAAGAAAAAAATTCTTCCTTTGCAAGAAGACCTGGGCTTCGCCTCCTGCCTGCCTCTCTCCCTGCCTTCCTCTTAGAGCTCTTCTCTGGTTCCTGCCTCGTCCGCCCCTCCTCTAAAGCCCAAGGCCGGGCCCAGGACGGGATCAAGGACTGGACCTTGACCTCATTCCCTGCATATCCCTTACTGCAACCCCTGCTGGAATCTACCAAGGCTCTGGGTTCCTGAAGCTGCAGGGCTCCTCCCTAGCCCTCCAGGCCCTTGGGGGGCGGGGGCAGCCTTCCAGCCCAGGGCCACTGGGGCTCCGGCCCTCGGTCCTGCCGCTTCCTCTCCCCCGTACAATTCATTTATCCCACCTGAACCGTCAGCTCCATTTCCGTGTCTTTGGGCCTTGCCTGCCTTAGCCAATCAGGTGTAGTTTGGAATGTCAGTAAGAGTAACAACAGGACACACAGGACAGTGGCAACAATGACTGGACAGATCGTGTGACGTGGGCACCTTTTCAGTCATGGAGTCATGGCACAGATGAATTTGGCTGGAAGAGGAGGGCCGGCCGTGGGGGGGACAGGGGGAGGGGCTGGATGGAAGCACCTAGCAGTGAGGACCTGAGAGGCAGGAGGGAGGCTCACTCAGGAGGTCCCAGCAGGATGCAGCCAGGGGTGTGTTCTGGGATCCGCGGAGGCAGCCTGTGCTGGGGACAGGGGGAACCAGAGGAGGTGCTGCTGCAGAGATGGCACCGGAACGGGGCGGGGGATTGGAAAGGAGAGGGACCCGTGGATGTTACAGAGCGGGGAATGGATCCTTGTCATAGAAGGCGTATTTTTGTAGACTTTCTGGAATCTCTGGTTTTAAAAGCATCATTCACTGGGCTGAAGGGGTGGCAGGCTGCTGGTTATCTGCTCTCACGTGCAGTTTCACCTCCTGCTGGGCTTTGCAGAACCTTCTAGGAGACTCCTTACAACACCCCTACATGGTGAGTGGTGATCACATTCCGAAGGGCTGGAGGTCAGGGACTTTGGAGTTGTTCCCAAATAGTCACACCATTGACTCCTTAATTTGTGAATTCCCGAAGGCCTCCTGCCTTATCAAGGTTTAGTGGTGGTCTGGAATGCAAATAGGAAGTGTTGTCAATCTGACTAGCAGGGTAGAGGCTTGACCCTGAGGGCTCTGAGGACCACTCATGTGCCGTTTATGTGGACAGGGCTGACAAGGAGCCTCTGGGCACAATAGCCTCAGTGCTCTTCTGCACCAGGCTGACTGGCTGTTTACCCCACACCTCGTGCTCCATCTGAGACATCATGGGGGAGTCGGCAAAACTCCTCCAAATGAAATTAAAGTTACTTTCTGGGGTGAAAATTAAGAATCAGAACATGACAGAAGACATTGGCCAACCAGAGAAAGCAAATAACGCAAGGCATTTGTAGCAAGAGTGGCTGAAAGACTGGAAACGCCCACACGGCAGTTGACAGCATCAGACCAGAACCTCGGGGACAATCAGGACGAGCCTTGCCCCAGAAGAGGAGAAAAGCAAGTGTCCTCCCTTTTCTGGCTGAGTATCTGCGCTCCCCCTGACACCTGCCAGCTACGCAGCTGTGAACGCTTCCTGGCTGCTTGCTCTCTGTTCACCCCCAGCCCCACCCACACTTCGGGAAGAGTGGTCTTTGGCCAGATCCCTCCTCAGCCTTGATTTTCCTTTAATTTCTCTTAGCCTGGACCTGGACTCTCATTTTGTGTATCCCACCCCTTACATTTTTCACAATTATTAATTTTCATTTAGACTTTCCCGTTTAAAGCAGTTTACATTCATGTTCACGTGATCCTGCAACAACTGTGTGAGGATGGCAGATGGAGAGGAGGAGGAGGACCCTTTTTCCCGGATAAGGGAACTGAGGCCAGAAGGCCGGGGACTTGCCCAGGGTCAGTCAAGGCAAGATCCATATGTTGTTGTTTTTTTAAGTTTATTTATTTTGAAAGAGAGAAAGTGTGAGTGGGGGAAGGACAGAGAGGGGGAGAGAGAGAATTCCAAGCAGCCTCCCTCCGCTGACAGCGCACAGCCGGACACAGGGCTCAACTCAGGGCTCCAACTCAGGAACTGTGAGATCATGATCTGAGCCAAAGTCAGACGCTTAACCAACTGAGTTCTCTGCTGGATCCATATTTGAACCTAGGTCTTCTGACCTCTCTCCAGGGCCAACCTCCATGAGTAAAATTAATAGAATTTTATCTATTTTAAAGTATCTCCACACTCCCGCCTTTGCCATAGCTGGAATGCCTGCCCACTCACCCAACTCTCTGATCCATCTATCCTGCTCATTCCTCCAGCCTGTTGAAATTCTAAATTCTACTTATCCCTCAAAACGTAGCTTAAATATCACCTCCTCAGTAATGGCTTTCCTCCTGACTCAGGGAGTCAGGAAAAAATAAAACTTATTTTAATAAGTAAATACCCAGGCACAACAAATCTCGATGTCATAATAAAGGAATCCGATGCTTGCAGCTACATGAATGTAGTCAACCTGCCATCAGGTAGCTGGCTTCCACCTCCCACTCAGTAAGTGTGTCAGGACAGTATATTCAAATGCGGAATTCTATTGCTTCTAAGAGACAGAGTTCCACCAAGTGTCGTGCCCCCTAGTGGTAGTGCTGCGGAGGGCTGCTGCCTCTGAGCTATTACAGGGCGCTGTTGCCCTCCCTAACAGCGTTCTAGATGCCTTTGTGCCTGGCTACCCATTCAGGTCTGCAGCAAAGCATTGGCACCATGTGGGAGCATGTTAGAAATACAAGTTCTCCGGCCCTGCCTCACAACTATCGAATTCACATCTGTACTTGAATGAGATCTCCAGGTTATATGCATATAAGCTAAGGCTGAGAAACATCCCGCACTCCTGGGGGACATAGTAAGGGAGAGGGTAAGCCAATTTCATGTAATAAGTCTTCTTCAATATTGCCATCTTGAGATTCTCTTTACCGGGATGGTCCTAGACCAAGAAGGTATTAGTTCAGGATTTAGCCAGGAAAACAGAAACCACTTCCAGTACTTTGAGTAGAGAGGATTGAATGCAAGGGATTGATTACATACGTGATAGAAGAGTTAGATGGGAAGCCAAACAAACGGAGGTCAGCAGCAACAGGAAGCACGGCTGCCCCGACCCTCAAGGGGAGAAGGAGAGGAGGTGGGCTAACTGGAACCCAGGATTTCCTGGTGGGAGCTGATGTGATGGAGGAAGCTCATTTGCTGCCAGAGATGTCACCTGAGGCAGAGAGGGAGGAGGAAAAATACTTCAACTTCTCCCAGCCTCTGGTCTTCCAGCCTCTCAACAGCTATGTTGAGCCAGAATTCAGCAGGCACAGGAGGTGTGGGAACCCAGCCTTCGGGAAGCAGACTTTCTGTATCACAGAAACAGAGCAAGAGAAGAGCAAGAAAGGGATCACCGACAGGCCTGGAACTGGCCCAAAGGCCAAGAGCTCTCTACCAAAAGAATTACTTTTAAAAGAGATACTCTTTCAAGATACTTTCCTCCAGAGTCAGAGAACTTGCCATTATGATTGCTCCATGAAGTACCCCGGGCAGCCTCAGACACTTCAAGAAGTGGGTCGTATGGATCAAGTGACACAGTTGCTTTCCCTGCAGCCACCAACACTGTGACCCCAACCTCTGCACTGTGTCATACAGCATTCCAGCCAGTCTGGGAACCACACAAGTCCTTCGGTGCACTGCCCGCCTCACCCACTGCCCCCCACCCCCCATCCCCTACAGTGCTGCTGGGTCACAGCAACCTTCCGTGCCCAGTCACTGCACACGCCATTAAAGCCACAGTGATCCCCAGTCTCTGCAAAACCCATCACTGACCTTCAGGATGGGAAACCTTCCCATGGGAGGCCCAGTGCCCTCACCTTCAGAAGTCTCACCTTCTCTGCCAGGAGACTCTCCCATCCTTTGATATTTCCCTCTCCGTTTTCCTCCTGCAATTTATTTTTTTTCAAATGTTTGCTTTTATATTTCTGAGAGAGTGAGAGTACACACATACACGCATGTGTGTGTGCAGGGAGAGGCAAAGAGAGAGGGAGAGAGAGAATCCCAAGGAAGCTCTGCACTGTCAGAGCAGAGCCCAATGTGGGGCTCAAACTCACAAACTGTGAGATCATGAGCTGAGCTGAAATCAAGAGTCAGATGCTTAACCACCTGATCTACTCAGCCGCCCCCTCCCCCTGCAATTTAATCAGAAAAATCAAAATGAAGAAAACCCATCTTGGCTCCTCATCCATCCCCTTGTAATTAGGACATTTTCCTTCAGTGGTCAGGAATCTCGGACCGTGCCACCCAGTATGGGCTGCTCTGGTTTTATAACCCGCCACACACCTTTGGCAGACCTGCTTAATTTTTTTCTAATTATAAAAATAATAAGGCACACTTAGAATGTATAGAAAAGTAAAGCAAAAAAAAATCCACCTATAATCCTGCCACCCAGAGGCAGTCCCTATTAACATTTTGATATATTTCCTTTCTAGAGTTTAAATGCATTTTTCTGCAGCTGAGATCATACTTGTATACATAATTCCATGCTCCAGTTTTTTTCACTTGTTACAGTATTTTCCCATATCATTAAAACTTGGTTGAAAACATTAACATTTTTTCCATATGAGTTTTTTTTCTAAATTACAGAAGTAATACCCACTCACAGTAAAGAATTAAAACAATTCAGAAATATATAAAGGAAAAGGTAAAACTTTCCCTTCCCTCCTTCTCCCCCCATGCCTCAGAGGTAAACCACTTTTAACAGTGTAGTTCTTATCCTTGAAGACCTTTCTCTGTACACTCATACAAAACAGCTTTTTAACTAATGGCCTCAACTAGGTTTTTCATGTCCCAGCATAGCTTGTAGACATTTCCTTATTGCTACATAGGGAACTGCTGCTTTTTAAGAAAGCTGCCCAAATAGTTCATGTATAGAAGTATTAGAATTTACTTTGCCATTCCCCTATTCTTTCCTTCATAAACATGTATAAAATATGACACTTCTTATAGCTAAGTACATCCCTTCCCCTGTACATCCATACGTTTACATAGTTTTTATGATAAATGTGTATGCTGATATCTTCATTTGTTGTTTTTTTTTAAGTTTATTTTTGAGAAAGAGTGTGTGCACATGCAAGTGGGGGAAGGGCAGAGAGAGAGGGAGGGAGAGAGACTCCCAAGCAATCAGCGAGGAGCCCAACACCGGGCTCTAACCCACATACTGTTAGATCATGACCTGAGCCGAAATCAAGAGTCAGACACTTAACTGTTTGAGCCACCCAGGTGCCCCGCCAATACCTTCATTTGTATATCCATTGCCCTCGGCACAATGACATGGGTGTTTTGGGGGCAAAGATGGAGAAAGTTATGTCACAGAGCAGAGTTACGTCACAGAGCAAGCCCACGGCAACACAGAATTTGAGAAAGTAATATTCATCTGAACAGATGCCATGTTGTTTCTTTGCGTTTCCAGGAAGTGATCCCATAGTCTGGGATCTGCTGTTGATATCCGTCACCTTCAGTGCTCTCGGATGATTTTCTGGACGGACGGTGTCCTAGGCTCCACTCTGGAAGAGCCGAGATAACGCCAGCCTCTCAAATTATGCCGGTGAGGGCACAGTGCTGGCTTCCTGCCTGGATGGGGAACGCAGGATTCCACGCAGGGGGGTGAAGTTGGGAACAGAAAGTCAGCCTTGGCATGAGACTCGCCTGTAACGAGAACTGAGTGGTTTGCCAAAGTCACACGTGTAAAAAACAACCGAGTTTACAAGCACCGGGATAGCCGGGCCTCTGACTTCAGGACACGCATCGCCTCAGGCATATGGATTAGAAGAAACCTGAACACAGATGCTGCGCAGCTGAGGCAGGGCTGCTCGAGTTTGCAGGGGCAGCGGGGGGGGGGGGGGGGGGGGGGGTGCGGTGCAGAGAGAGAGCCTCTTGGAGCAGAAACATGCAGTGCGGAGCCTGCTGGAGGCCCTGCAGCTCCACACGCAAAGGGCCCTGCTTTCCTTGCCAGTCTGTTCAGACTGAGGCCTCCCGGCCCACCGCTCACCTGCTGGTCTGGGCCTCACCAACGTGCCCGTGAATTCTGCAGCCAACAGAGCAGGCTGTGGGGGCTCCTTGCCAGGTGCTTCTGTCCTTAGTGAGACAACAAAGATTTCCCCCACATAATTGCCGCTATCATTCGCGGTACCGTATATACGGCTGTGGAGTTGTGTATCCCCAGAACCCAGCACGGCACCTGGCAGAGATGCACAAAGATGCCTTTTATAAACCCTTTTTAAAAATTTTTTTTTAAGTTTATTTATTTGAGAGCACAGGAGGGGCAGAGAGAGGGGGAGAGAGAGAGAATCTCGAGCAGGCTCTGCAGTGCCAGTGCAGAGCCAGATGCAGGGCTCAAACTCACCAACCGTGAGATCATGACCTGAGTCAAAATCAAGAGTTGGACACTTAACCAACTGAGCCACCCAGGTGTTCCTCAAACCTTAAAGATACTCAAAAATATCTTACTAAATAATACAGATGCTCAAAACTACCTTTTCTGAAATGATTTCACATCACCGCACTTATGGGAAACATTTATGGCATGCTGAGGTAAACTGGAGGGGATTTGGGGACATCTGTGTGGGGCTTGATGGAAAATAATTATGTTTTCTTTATATTACAGAGGTATAAAAATAAAACATAAAGTCATTAGAGAACATGTTAAAAACTGAATTTGTATAAAATTTTCCAAATAAAATATTTTCAAATTTTTAATGAGAAACTTGAGCTTGTTTCCATGAACATACTTAAAAACTTTTTACCATATATTTAACTTAATATATTCACAATATTATAAAAATTAAATACTGAGACATTTTATTAAATGATTACATTAATAGTGAGATACTTTACATTCTTGTTTTCTTATTAAGTCTGGTGCATATTTTCACTTCTAAGTGAAATTCAACACATCTGCATTTGGACCAGCCACAGTTCAAGTGCTCAGGGCCCACATGTGGCCAGTGGCCGCCTGACTGCACAGCACTGCTCTGTAGTGAGGATAATAAATCTAACATGGGAGTAATTCTTTTAAACCTCTTTTTTTTAAAGATTTTATTTTATTTTTATTTAGTTTTTTAAAATGTTTATATGAGAGAGAGAGAAAGAGAGAGGGGGAGGGGCAGAGAGAGAGGAAGACACACAATCTGAAGCAGGCTGCAGGCTCTGAGCTGTCAGCCTAGAGCCCGACGCGGGGCTTGAACCCACAAACTACAAGATCAGGACCTAAGCTGAAGTCGGATCCTTAACCAGCTGAGCCACCCAAGCGCCCCCAGATTTTATTTTAAGTAATCTTTGTAACCAACATAGGGCCAGAACCCACAACCCTGAGATCAAGAATCATATGCTCCACCGACTGAGCCAGCCAGGCACCCCTTTTAAAACTTTTTTATATGCCTCATGATGGCAATAAATAATTGCCAGTGGAGATTTTAAGATAATGATCTATTCAGGTCCTTGGTAATCACCACCAATGAGAAATTTTGCCCAAGCAGGAGATAAAAAAATTTTTAAGTGTTTTTATCACCCTTCAAATTTTTGCAGCAGTTGAAATTATCTTTAAAGAGTTTAACAGCTCTTATGGAAATTTCTTGTGATAAGGCAAAGGATTTCAAACCCATCAAACTTTTTCACACCAACTATTTCAAGAGAATGCTGATGGTCTCGTTAGGTCTCTTTAGCAGAACATGCCCCTAGCTTGAATGTCACTCTACAGGCACACAGGCTGCAGAAGGACAGATTCCAGCATGGCGGAGGACAGAGACGTGGGACCCCGCCTGACGCAGGCCCTCCATCAGCTGCCTTCTGCCCCCCCCCCCCAATATCCATTCTCCATTGCCTTGGCTCAAGGCTGGGCTCCCAGAAAACTGGAAATAAACCCCAGCAGTTCCTCGGGTCCCTGCTCCACCTCGCTCACAACTCGAGCATTTCTGGCATGGGGTGTCCAGTGACAGATGTCACTCATTTTTCTCCCTCTCATACCAGCCCCTTCCCACCCATCTGGCTCTGAGGAGCCCAGATACTGCTGCTCACAGCTGCAAGTGCTGCCCGGAGGGCTTGCCCACTCCAGACCCGTCGCCTCCACGGGCTGAGCTGGTGACACTGAGCACCCAGGGGCTGCCTCACACAGGAAGCTCTGGTGTAAGAGACACTGCACAGCGTCCATTGCCTGCTTCCTTCTTCCTGACAGTGTCCTGCCACTTTATGCCTCTGTGCTCTGGGGCAAGTTATCTAACGTCTATGCACTTTAGTTTTCTCTTTTTTTATTGTCTTTATTTAACGTTTATTTTTTGAGAGCGAGAGGGAGGGGCAGAGAGAGAGAGAGAGAGAGACAAAGAATCCCAAGCAGGCTCCAAACTGTCCACCCAGAGCCCAATGTGGGGTTCGAACTAACAAACTGTGAGATCACAACCTGAGCCAAAACCAAGAGTCGGACGCCTACCCGACTGAGTGACTGAGCCACCCAGATGCCTAGTTTTCTCTTCTTTAAAAACAGCTTTATTGAGGTGACGTGGAAGTCACTCAACTAAGGCATACGGTTCAGTGGGTTTTAGTATATTCACTGGGTTGGGCAAGGGCTTCAGTTTCTCGTGTGGAAACTGAGACAATCGTATACAACCTCGTAAGGTTGTTGGGAGGAGGAAAGGAGATCATGAATCTAAAGTGCGTGGTACCTCGCGTGGCCCCTGGTGAACCCTCAGTTGGCGGGATCTTATTGCAATGACAACGAGGAGGAGGGGTGGGAGGACGGAGCGGCCTGGGAATGTGCTGCGTGGCTCTGTGGGATTTGGGCAACCCCAGCGCTTCCTGTTCCTCCCACACCGGGCGCAAAGCCAACAGCCTCCTCATGAGGTGCTCGCAGCCACCTCGGTGTCGGAAGGGGATGTGACAGCTGCTCGACAGCTGCACGGGCTGCCACACAATTTAAGGCAGGAAGTGGAGAGAAGTGCCATTTCTTACAGAAACTGATGGGGAAAGAAATTCAAGTCCATTAAGAAACGTCACCTCCTTGACTTATGTTTCATCAACAGCTACCTGGTTTCAATTGGCTATGACTTTTTTTTCCAGAAAACGTTTACTCTCAGGGTGCCTAGCTGACTTGGTGGAGCGCGTGACTCTTGATCTCAGGGTTGTAAGTTCAAACCCCACATTGGGTGTGGAGATGACTTAAAAATAAAATCTTTTAATAAAAAGTTTTACTCTCAGATTATTATAGTAAATGTTTATTGTTCATTTTTTGGTATAATCACGTCTCCAGAGGGAGTCAGTATCAAAAGTCTGGACTAGATACTTTTAGACTATTTATTTATTAAAAATAAAAATGGAGCCATGAGATAGTACTGTTTTGCAACTCACTTTTTTCACTTAATATATCCTGATGGGTGTCTAGGTGGCTCAGTCAGTTGAGCATCTCTTAATTTCAGCTCAGGTCATGATCCTGGGGCCATGAGATCAAGCCCTGAACTGGGCTCCTCAATGAGTGTGGAGCCTACTTAAGATTCATTCTCTCTCTCTCTCTCTCCCTCTGCCCTCCTCACATTCTCTCTCTCTCTCTCAAAATAATAATAAAAAAATATATATCCTATCACTCTATGTTAGTAAAAAAAGTTTTTTAATTTAAAAACATTTTTTTAAATGTTTATTTTTGAAGGAGAGAGAGACAGAGTGTGAGTGGGGGAGGGGCAGAGAGAGGGAGACACAGAATCCGAAGCAGGAACCATGCTCTGAACTGTCAGCACACAGCCCGACGCCAGGCTCGAACTCCTGAACTGTGAAATCATGACCTGAGCCAAAGTCGGACGCCCAACTGACTGAGCCACCCAGGGGCCCCAGCAAACCAAGTTTTAACAACCACATAGCATTCTTTGGTGTGGATGTTCCATTATTTATTTATCAAATCCCCAATAGATAGGCATTGAGATTGTTCACACTTCTACAAGAGTATTATTACCGCTGCAGCTGCCATGGTGCATCATCCACGTCCCGCCTTGAGGAGGGAGGCGCTCATACCCTCAGTGGCTGGGCCTCAGCCTGCTCTGTCCCTGGCTGGTCTGGTCCTGAGCCACGTGCGCTGCCTCACATGCAGTGAATGACCAGTCAGTGTGTGTGTCGGACGCAGAGGCCTGGCCCCCTTGCCTCAGTGGTGTAACTCCGAGGGCCATTCCACCTCCCAGACTGGCTGTGGGGTTACAGTAAGACCCATCGCGACTGCATAAAAGCTTAATGCCTCCCTCCATTCAGGCCTGCTTCCCTCATTTCCTTACAGGCGTTGTTCTAAGAGAGTGTCCCATCAAATCTGTTTTCTGGGTAAGCTCAGATGACTGGAAATGTAAAAGTTTTTTAAAATAACATTTTTTCCCCCTAAACAGTTGTTACTAGAATTCCTTTTTAAAAAGGAGGTGTCGGGAAGTATCTGGTTGTTTGGCTCAGTGGGTGGAGCATCTGCCTTGGGGTCAGGTCATGATCTTGGGGTCTGTGGGTTCAAGCCCCACGCTGGGCTCTGTGCTGACAGCTCAGAGCCTGGAGTCTGCTTCGGACTCTCTGTCTCCCTCTCTCTTTGCCCCTCCCCTGCTCATGCTCTATCTCTCAAAAATAAATAAACATTTAATAAGGTTTTTAAAAAAGAAAGAAAAGAGGTGTTGGGGCTCCTGGGTGGCTCAGTTGGTTAAGTGTCCAACTCTTGATTTTGGCTCAGGTCATGATCTCACTGTTGTGGGGATCGAGCCCCACCGGGCCCATGGTGAGCATGGAGCCTGCTTAAGATTCTCTCTCCTTCTCTCTGTGCCCCTCCCCAGCTCACATGTGCTCTTTCTCTCTCAAAACAAACAAACAAATAAATTAGAATATTAAAAAGGAAGGAAGAAAGAGAAGAAAAG